GAAAGGAAATAAACTGGTGTAATGATAAAATTATAGGAAGTATTTATAAGTAGTTTGGAATTCTGATCAGGATTCTACACATATATTTTATGACGTAGCACAAATATTACATTATAAAATTTATGAAAAAAATAGAGAAACAGAATAAAAAACACATATGCACATGATTACACATGCACAAACACACCACACTCACACACAAACAAAAGGTCAAAACATCTAATAAGAATGCAGTACAATGATAGCTATGATGCACGTTAGGTTTCAATAAATATTTGAGAGACTGTATGAATGAAAAACAAATATTATTCATCAATTAATACAGTTACCTAAAGTAATAATAAAAATATATCAAAGAAAAAGGATTATAGTTTAGTGCGTATAATTTATGCAGTATTAGCAAACATCTGAGATTTAAAATGCTATATATTGATGGAGAACTATAGATTACATTCGATCATATTTTGGAAAATTTCAATATTTGACAACATTTTAAAAACAATGTTTTTCTCCTTTTTAAAAGTATAAAAAACTCAGTACTTCTAAAAATGAGAAAAATGAATTAGAAACTAGGTAGTTATTAGCATATATCAGATTATAAACATGTATGGGGCAGGGACTGACTTAGGAGACCATTAGAATGAATGTATTCCCTTTAATAATTCATCACAGAATTTTGAAAAAATACTTACTTTTTCTTTTTACCAATTTACAACACTGACTTTAAGGAAGAAAACACGGAAGCATTGCTATTTTCCCAAGATAAAACTCACTGGGCTTTTGTTTTTTGTTTTGTTTTGTTTTGTCCTTAATATCACAGCAATTACTGGGAATTACATAGAGGCCCAAAGAAAAAAAATTAAACTTTTCCTTATTTAATGTCGTGTCCCAAAATAAAAACTTACCAAAACATAAAGTAAGTACCCCATAAATACATATACCTACCATGTAACAGAAAAATTAAAAATAAAAATTTTTAAAGCATAAAGCAAATTATATTTTCCAACAATACAGCTCATACTATAACGACACACAGCAGATAAGTAGATTGTTGATGGATTGATTGATGTATATATGTTTTGTTTTGTTTTATTGTTTGCTGTCTTGGCTTAGTTTTGAGCCCCTGTCTAGAGACTGGTCAGTTTCCCCTTTTTGAGCAGCTAAATCCATATTCCTCTACTTCTCTTCTAGTGATCTCACACTTCTGAGTCACTAAGCAACCTCCTTAAGCAAATGCTTTGATATTAGATAATTTGACGTTGCTGTTTTGACCTGGTTCTTGAGAAATTACTCAAATTAGCCAATCCTTAGAGAGCCCTAAAACCCTAGCTAACCCTAGTCAGTTTTTCATACATAAACTGTCCCCTAGAGCTCCAGTTTGTTGTTACCTTATTCCCAGATTTAGTCCCTTGTATGGCTCTGCCTGACAGGCTTCTCCCATTTAGAGCTCTAACAAAAAACTTCTGCCTTTCATCTAGAGTCCCACTGTGTGTGACTGGCCTGAGGATAGATCTTTAAAATTTTTACAGCAACCAGTTATCTGAAAGACTTACTTATAAATCTACAAAACTTCTATAAATTTATTTATAGACTTTATCAAAATCCTTCAAGTCTACTTACAGGAATGAATCATGGGAAGTACAATGCACAAAGAACAATTAATATTATTTAACGAAAATAAACTCATGTTTTGCAAGTTAAAGATTTTGTGCATAAAAATTTTAACTGTAAATGTCTTAATGTCAATTATGTAAAAAAAGTTTAAAGAAATTGAAGAAGAAATGATGTACCTTGAAACAAAGTCTATTGGTTAAGTCATAAAGAGAAAAACCTTCCTAGAACAGTTAATGGCCCTCAGCTCATTTTAATGACACTTTTACTTCCCTCTCAGCTCACTGCTCTGAAGCCAATTATTTGTTTCCCAGAATAGCTCCCAGCTCCATGAGGACAGTGTTGACATCTGTTTTTGTCAAGGCTGTAGCTCTGGTGCCGATCACAGTGCCAGCACATAGTACATGCTCAGTAAATGTTTCTGGAATAAATATATGTTATTCGTTGTAAATATTTTTTAAAAGGATAAATTCTATTTGTTAAAATGTGTCACTCAATGCTGAAAATCTAAGGTATAAATATTCTTATAGACACACACACAACACATTCTCAATCTTTAGGTGATATGTCTTAAATTAATAAGATGGCAGGGTGTGTTGCATAAGGCTAATTTTAAAATAGCCTTGCACATCCTCTCATTTTTGATGAGCTTAATAAAACCCTGATGTGGTGACATTTCTGAGGTAGCTGGTAATTTTTTTCCCTTTGGAGATTTTAACAATAAAAAGCTTACTAATGACGCTGGAGATGTAAAGATTAAAAGTTTGCTTATAGGCTTCAAGGTATGTTACACATCAAATTGGTGATTAACTCCATTGATGTTTAGAAAGGAGTAAATATATTTAACAGATAAGTTAAATTATTCATTTATAAACTGTCACAAAGTATTACTAGGCAAAGGAATTTGCTGTTGAGGAAGCATTTGGTGTAAGATTTGTGAAATCAGCACCTTCTATTATAATTACTTTAGTTCTGCCTTTAAGCAGGGGATATCGTTAATAATCCTTAGAACATTTTCAACCTCATAAAAGTTTAATTAACAATTAACATTGTTCGTAGAGCACTACTATTGTATAGCACTATGAGGAATCAGAAGACCGATGTGCCGGTTTTTTTTTTTTTCCCCATCAATTTTCAATCTAGTTGGGAGGAAGTTAAAATCAAAACTTGCAAATGTACCGAATCCCCTCCAAAAGACAAAAATGGAATTAAGGTAAGAGTTGAGGGAGTTCGATTAGGAAATTTGTTATTCATCAATAAAGAAAGTTCTGTGGAAATCAAGGTGCATATGAAGCATGAATTGGTAGAGTTACGGAAGCTTGCTTTTGGTGTGTGGGACATAAAGTGACCCTTGAAGAGATCAGTAATTAAATGAAAACAGGCCTGGCAAAAACGTCTTCTAAGCCTGTGATCCTAATGCAGGGAGCATGGATTGGTTTAAGCAAAATGTGTTAGCTCTGTGAATGCAGAGTCACTGAGTACACCTAAGGGAGTCTAGAAGTGAGAAATTAGTTTGAACTTTTAAAATGTGGCCAGATTGTAGAGGGCAAAGAAAGGCTCATAGAGAAGTTTAAATTAAATATCCAGAAAAAGTAAGTAATCATTGGAGGTATGTGAGAGGAAAAGTTTTAAGTAATGAATATGTGTTTAAACAAAATAAAACTGTTTGCTTTTGAGGGGATTGGGAATATGGTTCAGATGGGAAGTAATTTTAAGGTTATTCTAAAAGGAAGACTTTTAGATATAAAAAAAAAAAATCGCTGAAGTTTGAGTTTATATGAAATAGTGCATTTCAGCCACTTTTTTCACATCTAGTATCTGTTCTGTTTTTAAATAAGTTTTTTTTTTTTTATTTCAATAGCTTTTCGGGTACAAGTGGTTTTTGGTTACATGGATGATTGTATAGTGGTGCGGTCTGAGATTTTAGTGCACCCATCACCCTAGTAGTATACATCGTACCCAGGAAAGGTACATTCAGTATCTATTTTGATATTGCCTGTGGTTTGCTGCCTCTGGTGTTTGCCATCAACTGTTGCCTGTCTCAGTGGGAATTTTTTTTTTTTCACATGCAAGAAATAATTAGAATATTATTAAGACAAATAGAAAGCTCACAATTATTGGACATTTAAAAATATTAGTTGTGCTAACTTGGATTTTAGCAAAGACCTACATTCCAATTATTGAGCGATTTAAATTGATGAGTAAGCAAACTTGCAGGTATGTTTTCTTTACTTTTCGTTCTGCGTTTTTTTCTGATGACTCTCTGCTTTTGAAAATGCTTTATGCCTCAGGCATTCTTGCCTATCCACTTAACTTCATTCGTAAAATCAATTCCTAATTTCCAAGCTATCATTTATCTATCACGTGGCTGTTTAATCAAGGGGGGTAAGACAACAGCAACAAAGAAACCCAATTTATTTCTTAACCATTTGGCTTATGTTGTTTTTTAGTAAAGGGCTGATTTCTATTTTAAACAATCAGAAAATAGTTTACTTTTGAAATCCTGGTTAAAATGTATATTCTAACCTGCTGGTAAAAAAGTAGAAGATAAATTCTGTGATCACTTTCTTTCCCCTGAATGTTAGACTCCATGTGATTCAATTTGTAATTTAGCTTCAGTTTTATCCCTTAGAAATTTAGAAAATAGTTAAGCTCAGAGGAACCAAACACTGTCCGGATGCAAATGGCTTCTTCTTTACTTGGATTTCAGAATGTTTGTAGCTGACCAGGTGTATCATTAGTAAGATACAATAGTTATTCTTCAAAATGAGTATTTCACTTTTAAAAAATGTGGCAAGATATTTTCATATAAAAATAATGTGTTTATGTAAACAAAACAATATTTTATATAACCATTTAGAGTATTTATTTTTAATGATGCTATGTTTCAAGTGGTAATTTTGCTTTTTAACTTAGTGGAGTTGTATTATTTTTATATTCTTTAATATTGCACATAAAATTATTCTACTTTTTATAATTTATCATAAATATGAGTTTATTTCTGGGATTTCTTAGAACATAAATTAGTAATAATCTGTATGCCTTTATCAAAGACTTGATAAAAAATGATACATCATGGTTATATCTGTTCACCCATATCTGTCTTTTTATCTATCTATCCATGTCTTTGGATCTAAATAACTAAATAAAGGATTAAGAAGGAAAATATTAATAGATCAATCTTACCTCCATAACAAATTTGATTCCTTTTGTATTAATCTTTAAAAGATGGAGAAATATATCTTTGAGTTGCTTGACTTGACTCAAAGATATGCTTGACTTTATGAAAAAGTAAGATCACTAATAACATACTTTTTCTCTAAGAGATAATTTTAATTGAAAATCTTAACCACTTTCTTTTCTTATATTCTCCCTCTTGTCTTCTGCAGATGGGCCTCTGGGTCCCCGAGGATTAGCCGAAGCTACAGAGATGTGCACTCAAGAGTGCTTGGTTTTGGGTCACTCTGATAATTGCTGGATGCCTCCTGGCTTGGGTCCATATCAACACCCCAAATCTCCTCTCTCAACCTTTGTACCCCAGAAAGAATGGGTGAAGAAGGACAAGCTTGTGAATGGGCACACCCTGACGAGGGCCTGGAAAGAAGACAGCAACAGGAACCAGTTCAATGACCGTAAGCAGTATGGCTCCAACGAAGGCCATTTCAACAATGGCAGCCACATGACAGACATTCCTCTGGCAAATCTGAAGTCTTATAAGCAAGCAGGAGGTGCTATTGAGAGTCCTAAGGAGCACCAACTCTAAGAAAGGCTATATGGGACCTAATAACTTTAATCTAAATAGACATGCTAATACCGTGTGTGTCAGAGCTTTATGTATTCAATAGATCTCTACAAGTCTATGCCCCTTCTAGCAGGGATACTTATAACTTTGTGTTAGCACCGTGGAGAATACAATATTTTGCAACATATGAGAGAAGATAGTTCTAGTCATGCAATCTTGTTTACTAGAATTGATTAAACTCTCCAGAGATCTCTCCATTGTGCAAAAAAATTTTTTATTATTGCATTTTATTTTGACCCTGGACTGCTGCTATGAACAATAGAATATGCATTTGGAAAGTAAGAAAGTTTCATAGATTAGAGTGACTGAAAAACATACCCAGTTAAAAAATTGTGCTTTTTTTTTTTTTTTTTTTTTTTTTTTTTTTTGGCATTGATTTGTACTGGGACCGCTATACTTGACATTATACTGCAAACAAAACTTAAAGAGATAAGCATTAAACCTATTGTGCTGTTAACAACGTTAGTGGACACTTGTAAGTCAATCAGTGTTAAAGTATTTGTAAATAGAAGCAAGCTATTATTAACAACTTTTGTGTACTTATAATGTTCACCTAAAAATGTCGTAGCATAATTCTGTGTTTTATGGTTGCTTCTGTCCTTTTTATTTACCTCTTCGTTGTTATTTTCGTTGTTTCTTTTAGTGAGGTGTTTCTGCGTTAGTAGTCTGTCTTGACACACATTGTTCAAAGAATCTCAAACACTTGTGTTTAAAAAAGGTTCTGAAATCTTGCTTCTTGTATGATAGCTTATGATGCTGGAATTCTGTAAACAATAAAGATGAAAGAAAAAATGATAACTATACAAAAAAGGACTTCTGTAAAAGCTTGGAAATTCAGAACCTATTTTTACATCCTTGTTTTCAAAGTAGGCAAAAGCAAAATCATCTAATTAGTACCATTAAGTGAGAGAGTAATGGAAAAGTGTTATCCATAAAAAGTGATATAATATCCTGTACTTGTCACTCATGCAAAACTAATGTATCAAAATTAGCATATATGGAAGAAAAATCACTATTCTAAAATAGTTTCAATTGGGCAAATGTGTGTCTACAACTTTGTTGAAATGGCAGAGTTTGTGTTGATCCTCATATACAATAATGTTGTTGTAACACAAGTGTTATTAGACCATAGCCACAAAATATTTAATGTGTTGTGCCTTCATGATGTAACAACATTCTCCAGGTAGGGTAGTTGGGGGAAATAAAGGGATAAATCTCTAATTATTGCTGTTTAACTGTTTGTTATCATAGTTGGTCAATGCCTGGCAGGTACCAGCATATTGTCACTTAGGTCAAACCAACAAAGTGACAACTAATGTTAATAAGATCTCAGTTGCACGTGCAAACAAATCCAAATTCGAACATTCTTAGGAGGTTTTTGTTAAGGCATGACAGATGATTTAAACAAATAAATAGCATGCAACAAAATGTCTTTATTGAAAGAAGTGGAAGTTATCTTAATGCCACGGTTCACCATCAATTTAAAAGTAAAAAAAACAAAAAAAAACCCAAAAAATTAAAAAAAAAAAAGGTTTGCTAATCTGATAGTTAATTTGTTCTTACCAAAAAATAAAATTACTTTGTAAATAGCAGTTCACATTTTTCCACAGTATAATGGAAAATAATGGGTAGGGGTGCATTGCTTATTGAAGTACATTTTTGTCAGTTTGTGAGGGGTGTTTGATGATTTTGACAGAATAAATATCTAAACAATTATCCTTGTTACTGCTTTGCCAGTTCTACGTTATTTACAATTATTCAGCTCTTGCAATAAATGTTCTGAATTCCTGATTGTAGTGTGTTAATTCTTAGTCAACATCCAAATTGGTTATTTATACTTCTAATTGTTGGGTAAATATATGTGGATAAAATTTAACTTTTATTTAGAAATTAAGGAAGATTCATTAGGATTTAGTACCTATTCTTTGAAAATGTGAGTACCATGATAAGTGTTCAATTACCCTAATGGTCTTCAAAACTATTTTTTAGGGAAATTCACGAAGAAAGTTCACTCACTTTCTGGTCAAGATTCATGCAAGTTTCATCAAAGTGAAATCCCAAATCAGAAACTTTGCTGGTAGCACTAGTGAGGTTATTTTTTGATTCTTTGTCTCTTTAATAAGACTTCATGGAATAAACTGTCACTTACGTCATCATTGACCAAGGCAGAAGATCATTCTGGGATTATGGATTTAAACCCAGAGTCAAACTTCATCTGTATTTCTTTCAGTTTAGGAAAATAGGCACAGAAAGCTATCAAGCATAAGAAGACACACTCAAACATATGCCATGTGTGTATGCTCGTCCTAGAGCAATTGCATCAATGTTCACTCATGCTGGAGTTTTGGGCTAGGTAAGTGAGCCTGACTCTTCAAGCCCTAGAGCTTTTTGAAGGATTGTGAAAGAGGATTCGGGAGTCAGAGGCATAGTGTTAAAGTTATTTGCCTGGACCATTGTCCGAATATGACATCCTAACCATTCATTCCTAATAAGCTAGACCTATCCCCTAGTCTGAGGTACACTGTAGCACCACTCTCCTTTCCCTCACAGGGGTAGAGACTGCCCCAAGATACAAACAGGGAATGAATCCTGAAAACAGGACATTCTGAAAAACAGAAATTAAAATCCATGCCTGCACCATAACTTTGCCTAATTTTTTTTTTTTTTTTTATTTTTTTTTTTTTTTTTTTTTTTTTTTACCAATCAGGTAAGTCATTCCCCTCTGCCTTGAAGAGTAAAGAGAAACTAAGCTCATATTCTCGCCATGAATAAACTGGAATTTTGAAAAGGCACTCACCTTTCCCATTCCTACCATATTTCTTCTAATAAATACAACAATATCTAGTCCTATGAAGGCTTTTGGTTGTATGCTCTGTGAAATTTTAAGAGTAATAACATCACACACCAAACTGAAGAATTTACCCATCAAGTAAATAAAATAATACATTTGCAATGACTATTCCTTAAGTATCATCTATATTGCTTTATGTTGTTGACATTGGACATAAGAGTCGTCATTTACCAGGAAACAAAAGTTATTTACATTACCTAAGAGAACATACCTACATGAAATGTATAAAATGATTTTTATAGCAATTATCAAATATTATGATTGTATACACTAGCAATTTTTGAGCACATATAAAAATTAACTTTATAAACCTGAATAGGACCTATTTGAATGAGCATTCCTACACATACTCTAACATAAATATGTATTTAAATAATGGGTATTCATTAACAGACAATTGAGTAGTCATTTTGCTGCACTGATGCTATTCAGTGAATCTCATTCAGAATCCCATCATTCCCATTCTGTGGCTAAAGCTACAAATGCAGCTGAGGCCCAGAGTTGTTCCAGTATTTATTAAACTGTTGGATAGAGGCCAGAGATGGTTAATTATTATTAATGAGGAGTTTTGGCAGTGAAAGATGAAAGGGATGCCTTGTCAATTTCAATTTTTAATGTAGATGCCAGGGTGTTACTTTGCATGAGGGCAAAACCAACCTATAAAAAGGAGGAGTGGTGTTGTGAGTCCAAAAATGCTTCATTGTTCTGCTTTGTTTTAAATAGAGCTGATCTTCCCTCCCTAAAGGAAGCTCCTTTATTTGTTCTTTCGAGAGAGAGTGCTTAAAAATTCTTCCAGTGTGCTTAAAGGCACAGTGATCACACAATAAATTCTCCATACACTTTTCTTACGCTTTCACAACTACCAATCTAAATTTTAGTAGATATCAGCCAGACTTTGCACTGTTTAAAAAATGGAAAATTAGTATCTTAATATTACAGTATTTTTGTAAGGTATAATATATACCTGTAAAACATGATTATCAAAATAATATCTTATTCATATTTTAGTTCACTGAAAGTATAAATTAATATGTATTCCAAAGGTATCAATTTTCTATTATACCACCATCTATATTTCAACATAAGGAGTTGAAATATAGTTAGTTGAAATATAGTTGAAATATAGTTCTACCTCCACCTATGCATTTTTTATTTCTTAGAATTCTTAAACAGTGCACCATATTGAAATGAGTTCTGTCCATATTTATGTTACCTTAGCCTATTACATTATTCTTGAAGCTTTACAGCAAAAAATCTCTTATTTTTAAATAAAAATCTTCCATTTTTATTCTTATTTTTTCTTTGTACCTTATGGCTGTGTTTCTAACATCATTTGTACAACACAATTATTTTTGGACTCATTCAATACCACCTACTTAAGGTTCACATATTTGCAAATATATTGAATTACAGTGATTTTCAAATAATATTACAATCCCATTTAAATTCTTAAATTCAAACACTGCTTTTTATGGACCTTTGTGGTTCCTCTGTTTGAACCAGTTCACCTCCAATTTCATCATTAGTTTGTTTTTCATTGACATTGTTTTGAAAAATAATACCCAACAACAGTAGTAAAAATTTTTGCTCTGAAACTCTAACACAAAGTTTTCTACAACATACTATTGTGTGATTATAAGTAAAGTTACAATATTTTTATATTTAATGAGATTACATCTACTTTATTTTAATTGAAAATTCTCATAACCAATTGTGACAAATTATTTTATATGTGATGTACATTTGATTTATTACAGGAAGCAAGTCATAAAATGATTTTACGTAACCTTAAATTCATTCACCGTTAAATTTATTCATACACAATTATACTTCAATGTGAATATAACTGAAAATTTGGCTTTGCTGGTGTGAATTCAAATCTCTTTGAATTTACAGGCACATATTTGAACTTCTTCCTCCTGGAAACATTTTTTTTCCCCTGGCTTCCTGGAAACCACAATCTTTTGATTTCCTCTTACTTTACTGGCCATTTCTTCTCAGGCTTCTTGGTTAGTTTCTCCTTTGTTTATGACTTATTTGAATGTTTTGTAAGGTCCAAGGCTCAGTTCCTTGGCTTCTTTTCTTCTCTATCTGCACTTACTCTCTTGGGAAGCTCATATTCCAGTCTGGATCTCTCCCCTAAACATCAGAACTTCTGATCCAAATCCCTTTTCAACAAGTATACTTGGACATTTCCAAGATGAGTCAAAATTAACATATCCAACATAACTCATCATCTCCTCTCATGTCACACACACACACACACACACACACACACAAAAAAAAAAAAAAAAAAAAAAAAACACAGTCTGCTACTGCAGCCAGTCTTCCAACTTCCTAGTTAATGGCACCTCTATCAGATATTCAGGCCAGAAAATGTAAAGTTTTCTTTATCTCTTCTCTGTTATACTTGTGGAGCATCTTTCTCTTTCTGATTGCAAAGTTCATCCAATCTAACCATGTCTCAATAGTTCCTCTTGCCAATTGGGCTAAGTATCATCATCCTTTTTCTGGATTATTATGGGTCTCCTAACTGTTCTCCTTGTAACTGGTCTTCCTCGTGTAACCTTCCCCCATCTAGTCTGTTCTAAGCATGCCTGAGTGATCCTCTTAAAAAAGGGGTAATCCAGACATCCTTCCTCTTCTCACAAAACTCCAAGAGTCAGTTGCTTTTCTCAGAATGAAAATTAAAGCCCTTATGTTGTCCTACAAGGCCAATAAAGTGTGGATGCCCCTCTTCTCATTAATCTCATGTTTGAATGACCATCTTTCTCACCCCATTATGATCCATTGGTTCCTCATTGCTTCTCAAACATGCAGGCATATGTCTGCCTAGGTTATTTGCGTCAGCTTTTCCTCTGCTGGAAATAGGCTTCTCTGATATCTGTAAAGAACTCCTTTCCTAGCTTCAAGTCTTCGTTTAAATACAATCTTCACCCTCAGGCCTGCGCCAACTCTTCACTTCTTTTTTTATTATTATTGTGAAGATATCTCTATCATCTCTATCTCTATCATTTATCTCTATCTCATCTCTCTGTATCTATCTCTATCTCATCTCTGTATCTCTATCTCCATCACTATCATCTATCTATTTCTTATCTATCATCATCTATCTATATCTATCTATCTATATCTATCTATTATCTATCATCTCTATCTCCCTCTCTTCCTCCTTCTCTCTCCATCTCCCTCCCTCTCTCTTTCTCTCCCTATATATCTATTTATCTATCACCATTTTAGCTACTTTAATCATGTTAACTATTAGTGTGCTATACAGTGGAGTTAACTTCATTCACTATGTTGTGCAATCATTATTACTATTTCACAACTTTTACTTTTTATTACTCCAGACACAGTCTATAACCATTAAGCAATAAATCCCCATTTTCCCCTACCCTCAGTTCCAGGCAACTTCTAATATACTTCATGTCTTTGTGAATTTTCATATTCTAGATATTTTATATCTGTAAAAATGTACATTTGCCATTTTGAGTTTGGTTTATATGCCTAACATAATGCTTGTTCTCAAGGTTTATCTGTGTTATGTCATGTCTCAGAAATTTATTTCTTTTTATGGCTGAATTATCTCTCTATATAAATAAATATATACTATGTCATATAAATATATAATATATAAATATATATACATCTGTCATCATAATCATATTTTGTTCAGTCATCTGTTAATGGACATGGGTTATTAATACCTTTAGATGATTGTGAATAATGCTGCAACAAACATTGGTGTATAAGTACCTGTTTGAGTTTCTGTTTGTGAATTTCTCTAATTTGTGGACATATTCTTTGAAATGGAATTGCTGGGTCATATAGTAATTCTGTTTGGCTCTTTGAGGAACTGTCAAGTCGTTTTCTCCAGTAGCTAGCCTAGTTTATATTACCAGAAGCAATGCATGGCGGTCCAGTGCTCCA